GGGCGCAGGTGGGCGGGTAATGGCGAGCGCAGCAGCATTACTGGCTGCTATGCCTTGGTTTGGGGTAGAGCTTGAACCGAATTGAAGGGGCGCCGCTCAAGGGGTGCCGTTCGGATGCCGTCAGACAGCCCACCACCGCTCGCCGCCGCGCGTCTTGGCGCCGAGCCGGCCGCCCGACACACCCAAAACCGCGACCCCTGCACCCGCCCCTCCGCGACAGCACGCCACGTGCACACCCTGCCCTTTTCCCCACCCCCACCCCACCCCCGCAGCCCGCCTACCAGGAGCTCAGCAGCGCGCCCGCCAGGATGCTGGAGGCCATCGCACACGAAGGCGTGCGCCCCGTCTTCCCAGAGGCCACCCCGCACTGGTACGCCGCCCTCGCCGCCCGCTGCTGGGCCGCGGAGCCGCGGCAGCGGCCGAGCTTCAGGCGCGTCGCCGCGCACCTCGCGTCGCTGCCGCTCGAGCGGCTCGCGTGGGGGGCGGCAGGGGAGGCGGTCGAGACCGGCGAGCGGCACGAGGCGCGGGCCGCCGTGGGCGGCCTTGCGGGGAGGCCTCGGCCTTTGGTTGTTGATGATGACGCTTGAGAGTGTGTTGTGAGGATGTGAATGTTGTGGGTGCGCGCATGGTACGCACGGTGCGCCCGCGCCGCTGCGCGATGGCTACTCCTGCGCGCAGGGCTCTTCCGGGTTGTGGAAGGGCGGGCGGGGCCGCTAGTATGGACCCAAGCAAAGCCGGCCGCCCGCGCCAGGCCCGCCCAAATTGCGGCTGCCGTCGGCCTTATAGCGGCCGCCCTCGCATGCGGGGCGGCTGCGTGCATCTTGATGGCGCACATTCGTTTTTGGGGCTTGCTGGCACTGCTCGCGCTTCGACACGGGAGGGACCCTGCGGGGATGTGTGTTGTCGGGAATGCGCACGGCCGTCTCAGCGCCACGCGACGCCCTCTTGCACAGCGCATTATCTAAGACACGGCCCCTCGCCGCGTTTTCTTTCCTTGCACGTCTCTCAACCGGCGGGGCAGTACAGCCGCTGTCGCACACTACACAACCAACGCCGCCCCGCTGCTGCTCCTCGCCGCCGCTGCGCCTGCTCCCCTCGGAAAGGCGCTCGCAAACTGGCGCGCGCGGGAGCATTTCCCCCCACTCGCCGCTACTATCCGCCCGCCCACACCGAAAAGCACGCGTTTTCGCATTCCTCTCTGATATTCACCCTGGGCCCCTCGCAACCCCTTTGCCCATTTTTCTCAAACACCCTTTACATCCTCGTCCTTGCGCGGCCGTTATCAGAAAGAATGGTCGCCGCAACCATCCGCAGCGCCATTCCTGCGGCAGCCTCAATGCAATACCAGCAAGCAAGGCCCCCTGAAGAATGGTGTGCCTGCGCCCTGGGCATGGCCTGCACGTCCCCTCAACGGCACGACTCATGGTGTGCGCCCCACCTGCGCCCCCTTCTTCCACTGGCCGTGCCATCAAGCACATGCTCTGCCTGCCCCCTGCGGCAAAGCGTAGCTACCAAGCGCCACATCACCATGCCAACGCGCGCCCGCTGGTGCGTAGGCGCACCCACTGCTTCGCTGTCCCTGATGTGCTTGTTGCTGCAGCGGGGCGGGATGTCTCATTTCTCACGGGCTTCTTAGCACTTGGCTGTCGGGCCTTCTGCAATCCCCTTTTATCATGTGTCTTATGTAAGGTTTTATGGCATGTGGTTGGTGATGGAGACAAGAAACAGGTCGCCCGCGCCCTCCAGTGGCCATGCCGCCCATCACCGCCACTCCCGCCTGCTGGGGCCCTCGGTCAGCAAGCGGGAGGGGGTGAGTTTGAGGTGCGTGTGTAGGGGGTTGGGGGTGCATTTTCATGGTGGTGCTCTTACAAGATGTGGGCGTGCAAGATCGCGCCTCTCAAGATTTGACTCGGGTTGACTGGCCTTGTGGGTTGCAGACTGCCATGCCAGTCGCCCGCCCGCAGTTTGCTCACATCCCAACGTGGCAACTGCATCCCTGACCTTAGCGCCTGGACACACCAGCAGGCAACAGGTCGCTGAGTGAAGGGGAGTGTGCAATGTGCAAGGGATGGAGGTGTGCTGAGCTGCCGCGTTCCGCTCGGTTGAGGGTTGCCGTTCGAGGTGTCACCGGGGTGACGCAAGGGCTTGACAACAGACCCCTAATGAGGGGACCTTTGAGCCGGGCTCTGCAGTAGTTTCAACAACCCCTCAACAGCGGAACTATAGCGCGGTTTTTAATCGGGTGAGCGCTCGCGGTTTGCGTGTGCCGCCTGTCTGCCACATCGTGGGAGCCACGGGATCACACTTCAATCAGCTGTCTACCGTAAAGCCGACAATTTGTGCGGATCTGACTAGTCTAGCACCACTTGCCATGGCCACACTCCGTCGGCCTGTGAAGTCACCCCTTGACTGCTTCAACAGGATCACGAATCCTCCATCTCGTCCTCGTAGGTGTGGAAGCTGCAAAATAATGAGGCCGTTCAGCAGCGCCGCAGCAGCGGCCTGGACGGCTGCGTTGCTGCTGGTCATGGCGGCGCCAGGGGCGCGCACGCACGGCATCCTTACAAAGCCCGCATCGCGCAACTGGAAGGCATACCTTGACAGCAACTACTATTGGTGCGAATCATATAGTACTGCTGCATGTATAGATGATGCTTGATTCGCTTGTGTAGCCAAGTACACAACCTTGACCAGCCCCTCGCCCACAAACGAGCAATTCATGCAGCCGACGCGGGAGATGAGCCCAGCTGAACCAACCCGGATATCCACCTCCCCCGCGGCGCACATGCAGGCCGGACGGCCTCAGCGCCGGCGGCTACCACGTTGTTGGGCAGAAGGGCGGCCGCCACGGCCTGTGCGGCGACCCTGCAGACGACGGGAAGCAGCAGTTCATGCGGCCAGGCCCCATCCAGGGTGCGGATGGTCGAGGGGCAGGCGGCCTGAAGCTGGGGGTGACTAGGGAACGGGCGGGGCTGGCGGAAGGTGCAGGCAGCTGCGGAAAGGGTTGCATCTTGGGAGTTGAGCGGGCGGACGCGGGAGTGTGTGTGTGAACCTGTTGGGGTGACTTGGCAGTTGGTGTGTCGGCAAGCAGTGCGTTGCAGATTTAGCCCGGAACCCAAGATCGGGTTTGGGCCATACCGTGAGCAGTCCCTCATGCAGCCACAGGGTCGCACGATGCACACGCCCCAATTGACACACTGCGCCGCACGATTGGCGACACCTGCCCTCGTTTGCGCCCCCAACATTTGCAAACCTCACAGAGGTGTACAAGTCTGGCTCGACAATTGAGATCCACGTGATGATCACCACCAATCACGTGAGTTGACTGACCTGGTCGGTGTGAATGGAAGGGCTGCCTTCAAATCCAAAGCACATGCGTCACCTGCACCGGAATTGTTTTATTGATGACAGCCTTTTCATTGCGGCGCAAGTGTCGGCCATGTCAACGGCAGGCCCCAAACCCCAACAAGCAAGGCTCAAACTTATCACACCTGCGCTGATCTTGGCATGCGCCGCAGTACGGCCGCTTCAACTTCAACGTGTGCCCCCTGTCGGCCAAGACCGAGAAGGAGTGCATCGCCCTGCAGCGGTAAGTGGAATGCAGAGCCCATCACCCCCCCAGCGTGTGGCGCGGTCACATGGGCTGCGTTTGTGCTTCTAATGCTAGGGGCCGAAGTAGGTGCCAGGGGCTTGGATGCTCAACCAGCAGGCAGGGTAAGAGGGAGCGGCCCAGGGGGCGGCCCTCCGTAGCTGCCGTCCTGCATGCCCCCAGCTAGTGTTGCCCTTGCACAGCACGTCGTGCTGCAGTAGAACCCTGAGCGACTATGCAACCCTCGCGTCGCGCTGATGCGCAGGCCTGACGGCAAGGGCGACACCTGGGACGTGAGTGCGCCGCAGCGCCGGCCACTCCCGCCCCCGGCGAGGGAGCATGCTCCTTTTTGCCGCAGCCACGCGCTTGCTCGCGCTGTCAGCGTCCATGCCTACTCACAACCCTTGCCCCTCAGCCTTCGAGTCCGTCCGCCCAGCACCCCAGCTGTCCGCCAAATCAACATCCGACTGTGGCGGCGCCTGCACCACCTAATCCCTGACCCGCAGCTGCCCAAGGTTGTCGAGGGCAGCCGCTTCAACGGCGGGTCTCTGGGAGAGAACCTGCGCCCGGCCGAGGTTTGGAGCAACTTCCGCTGGTACCGCCAGCCGCACGTGGACTGGTGAGGGCGTGACCGCAGTACGTCACCGGCCACAAGTGTCACCCCCCCTGCTGTGTGTTGGGGGCATGCCCGGGGGGGGGGCATGCCGGGGGCGCAGAACGGCGGGCGGCTCAGGGCCAAGGGGGAGCGTGCAGATGCAGGCTGGCGCTGTGTCTACCGTGTGGCTAAAGAGTATCTCTTATCTTGAGGCAGGGGGGTCACAGGGCACGATGACAGCTCGCACTCTGCAGGCAAGGCCCTGTTCACGCACATGTCCCCCCCATGGTCCTACACAAGACCCAGTGTCTCTCTTCGGCCGCCCACTCGCACTCCACCTTTGCCCCTGCATTGCCAGCGGCTACTGGAAGTGGTGTACCCGCTTTGAGGGGACCCCTGTGTACGCGGTGAAGTTCAAGCTGCCCCCCGGCTTCAAGTGCGACAAGTGCATCCTGCAGTGGCACGTGAGCATGGATGAATCAAGGCGCCCCTATTGGGGCTTGATTTCCCCCTGGGGTTGCAGCGCCAACATCAAGCAAAGCCTCACCGGTGGGATGGAATGCACAAAATCTGTGTTCTGCTGGACCGATGTCCACCCTCACCCCCATGTGCTGGGATCCTTGCCCAATATGCCGTGAACGCAGTACGTCACCGGCCACAAGTGTCACCCCCCCTGCCTCAAGGTGAGAGATGCTCTTTAGCCACACGATAGACACAGCGCCAGCCTGCATCTGCACGCTACCCCTTTGGCCCTGAGCCGCCCGCCGTCCTGCGCCCCCGGCATGCCCCCAACACACACCCCTCGTTGCAGCTCCTACTATTTGCCACGCCTCCCGCCGAGCGCCATGCGTGCCCTCTCAATTGATGTTCCGCACCGCAGCGCGATCGGTACTACCCCGACTGCCGGCGCAACCCCAAGTATGCTGGTACCTACCTGTCAAGCATGGCCTACTGCGGGGAGCCGGGCACGTGAGCATCTCGCTTGCGTTGAGCTCAAGGGAGGATCTGGGTCCATCTCGAGGGAAGGACGACAGGCAGGAGCGGGTCGGAGAAGCACGGATGAGAGGAATTGAGATTTTGGAATGCGTCCAGCGACGGGGCAAGGGATTGAAACAGGTTGAATTTGCATGCAGGCACAGACCACCGATCGCAGACCGCAGACCGCAGGCATCTGAGCTGTTGTGCGGTGCGTGCAGCAGTCGCACCGACTGATCTGCGCCCGCGTGCCTCACACCCGCTCTAAACTCGACGCCTGCTGCAGGCCGCAGCCAGAGGAGTTCTGGAACTGCGCGGGTGCGCGAGTGCAACCAGGCAGTGTTGAAGTAATAGTAGGGGTGTTGAGGGCGTACACGTGCATGCAGGCCCCTTGGTGAATGTGGGCCCCCCCGCCCCCCGGCGGCCTGCGCGCGACTGGCAGTGCATTCCATCAAGCTAGCTACCCGGGGAACACTCCAAACCCATCAACCTCCACGCTCCCTCGTGCGCAAATTGCAGACATCAAGATCCTGTAGAATGCACGTGGCTGTGTGCACTGCAGCGCGACACGGCCGTCGCCCTGCAGCGCGGGCGTTGCTGCAACACCGTTTGACGCGGCCAGCAGCGCGGGCACTCTCAGGACAGGCCTGGATGGACGACGGTCCCAGGGCGGAGGGCGCCCGCGAGGCGCTGCCGCCCCGGAATGGGTGTGCCTCAAAGGCGGTGACTGGTCAGGCGGGCAGCAGAGCCGGCGTCGAGCCCGCGCCCTCACATTCTGCTCCTTCGCACGTGCACCCGCGAGTAAGATACACTTTCTGCGTGGCGCGCCATTGCTTTCGCTTCATGAGCATCGATGCACAGCTGCTTGCTGCGCAACTGTTGGCTGACTCACACGCAAGCATTCCTTGCTTCAAGACGGCACGAATTGAGTTGCAGGTCGACCCTCACGATCTTGGATACACCTGACAACACCGAGCGACTCAACAGGCATCGCACAGTTTGCGTGTGGTTGCTGCTGTTCTTCTTTAACTTGGGTTGACTGTGAATTGACCGAGCTTATTGATCTGGCACGCCCTGCCCCTGTGGGAATGGGCCTGAAGAATATGGTTCACAACCGGTCAGGTCGCCTCCCTCTGCGGCCGACTTGTCCATGGTGTCGCTGAATGCCACCGCTCCTCCTGATGCTGCTGGTGCACGGCTGCTCCCGCGCCGACCCACTCCACACAGCAACCGCTGCACGCACAGAACAATGGCGCTGCTTCCCCTGGCATGCCGCACCTGGTTGTTCCCCAGCGCGGCTGGTCCAGCAGGGCTCGCAATGTGGTGCATTGCCCCCCCCTGGCTTGCCAAGGCAGTGGCAGTGCCCGCCGGCCTCCACGAGGCGCTCAGGTCTTGACCGGGCTGCCACCCTGTGGGCGCGGCTCGCGTGGGAAGCTGCTCGCTGCAGCGATTACATAACATTACAGTAACACTCCCAGTACTATCATACGGCCCTTGTGCCATGTATTATTCTTTGTTCCGCCACAGATTCCGCTCTGCTGCAGTTGCCAGCCGACTGCAACACGGTGCCGCAGGAGTTTACAAGTGACAAGAGGAGAGGGGGTCCGCATGGCAGGCACAAACGGCAGGCGTCGCAGGGGCGGCCTGGCCGCAGGGGCGGAGAGCCAGGGAGACGCGATACGGGCCAGATTGAAGGAGGGGACGCGAGGCGGCGCGCTGCCGGCGACGAGGGCGCGGGTGCAGCCATGGCAACAAGTGTGGAACAGCCCGACAAGCGCGGCGGCACTCTTGCAGGACGCTTTCAGTTTGTATAAGTGTACCAGCAGGGGGCAGGCAGTGGCAGGCAGTCGTGTAGGTAGGCGCGGGGGTCAGCCCCTGCTTGTCAGGGGCCATGAAATCCCTTGTGCGTGTTTCCGGTCACTGGACGGGGCGGCTCTTGACGCCGAGCCCGCTTCGCACGCATTGAGCATTTGCAGCCCGCACGAGCACTCGTGTGCGCCACGGCTGTGTGCTGCGAGCGACGTAGCCATGAAATGGGGCGCGCGCACGAGCAGGATCGCCGCGTTTGGCGGACCATCCATGCTGCGGCGTGCGCTGGGCGTGCCTCAGCGTGCCTCTCCAGGAACCCCCATGCATCCAAGGGCCTGCATGGGGTGCGCAGGCTCTACGGCCCTCCTGGCAGGGCGGGCGAGGGCGAGGTTTGAGGCCTTGGTCGCCACAGCCGCGGAGCCGCCAACGCAGCCCTGGCAAGCGCGACGGCATCGGTCTCCGCTGCGCCGTCGCCTTTGGAGCATAAATGCAGCAGGCGCGTCCATTTGGGTGCGCACGACACTAGAAGCCAGACGCCGTTTGCGACGCAGCTGTGCGTGCACAGTTGGCACATGCGCAGGTAGTCGCGCCCAAAGCCATCGACGGGGGTTGATGGGTCAATAAATGAATGGCGGCAACCAAAGAACTCCTAGGGATGCACGCGCGCGCTGTTGCAGCGCCTGGCGTTGTTAAGCCGCTCCAAACGTGATTGCAGTTTCATCAACATGTGCGAGGCAGCGTGCTCGAGCCGGGTCCGGCTGTCGGACTGCGTCTCAAATGCCCTGCTCCATCAAAGCATCAGCAATTTTGGAAGCGAAGCGCAGCGGGCGGCGCAAGGGGCCCCGTCGATTGCCTTGAAACGGAAGACAGCTGCATGGGGCACAAGCTTGCACGTGGGCGAGGCAATGCCTGTGATATTGATTGGCAACCGCAGCTACTGAACTGATGGCAACAACCGCGCGCAATTGCAGGCACCAGCAACAGCGCCTTCCGTAAAATGAGGCTTACCGCCTGCGCGGCACGGCGCGCCCGTAGCTGCTGTCAGCAACGCAGCGGGGAGGTGGGGGGCGATGAGAAGCACCACATGTGTGGCATCCTTCCGTGCAGCCCTGGGGCCAGCAAGTCCACTAAATAGTATGTCGAAGCATCAGGATGGAAGGCTACTAGAGGCTCGCCCGCACGACAACAACAAGAAGGGTGGCGTTGCGCATCGACGCGAGGGGCGGGCACCACCAACGCACGGGCGCTGCATGCGTCCGCGCGCCATCTCGTCTGAACGCGGCGCTGTGCGGTGAAGATGGCGAGAGTGGGCCGTGAAAAGTTGGACCTGCACGCCTTTCTCATGGCTGCGTGCCCCTGAGGCTCGCTGCTAGAAGCGCATTGCATTGTGGTGCGATCGCCTGCTCAGGTGCCAGGGCAGGAGCGGGGAACGCGCGCCCGGGCGGTGGTTGACCCACACAACCTGTAGCCCAATCGGCAAAGGCACCAGGGTCCTGGGCCATTGGAGAGACGTCAATTGTGCGCGTGCGTCAGGGCACCCGCCGAGCTAATCATGGCCACATCTGCGCCCCCGTCGCCACCACCGCCACTGCTGCTGCGTCCCGCACCCGCAAAAGCGGTGCGGGAGAGGCGGCTCATCTTCAATCCCGCCTTTCGCTTTGCCGCAAACCTGAGCCAGCTGTCTGGAAGCTTATGGGGGGCAACAGAGTCTGCGCCGGCCGTCAGGCTTTCCTGAAGCGCGGCCACCGTGCGTGCGTGGTGCACCGCGGCCCATGCAGCAGGAAGCTGCCGCTTGGCACCTCGCGCTGCCGGTGCCCCCGTGACGGGTGGCGACGCTGCCGCAGCATCCCGACAGGCCTTGCTGTCGTCGTCCGCCGCTCGTGTGGCCGTGCTGCTGGCCTTCCTCTGAAGGGGGGCGCCGCCCTGCTGGCGGCCCCAGCTTGCTGCTCGCTGCAGCATGTCCTGCTCGAGACTGGTGGCCGGCCTGTGGGTGAGGCGCCAGGTGCGTAGTGTCAAGGCGTCAGCAGCGAACGTTTATATGCAGACGAACTTGCGTGCACCGGCAGGCGAAGTACAGTACGACCAGAAGGGGCGAGAAGGCGCGGGGGTGAGCTGGCAGGCCACATGAGCCATGTCAGCGCCAGGCAACCGTGCCACATCAAAAATCCAAACGTAATATTTTGTATCTCACTCTACGGTAGCGATGAACGGCAGCTTGGGTCAGGGTGATGAAGGACGGCTGGCCCACCGCCGGCGTTGTCTAAAGGGATGCAACGAGTTTTACATTCACAGAAATGAAAAACCGGTGTTCCCGAACCTTGCGCAAGCACTGGGCGTGGATGTTTTGAAAGCCGCCCATGGGCCTGCCAAACGGACACCTCGACCTTCTCTGCAGCCCCACGCCATTCTTTTCGGCCCACATGCGCCGTTTTGATCCAGATAGCGAAACCACATCGATAATTATTTGTTGCTTATGCTGCGCAACCTAGGCTGTCCGCACATGTCGCCGCCAGCTGCAGAGCTAGTGCTGCCCAAATGGCTGTCAACTTTCCGCACCAACTTCCGCAGCTGGCACGTCACCCAAACCACAACGCTCCACGGGCGGCTCATAACAGGGTGGCTGGTGATGGCCTCAGCACCTCCGTTAAAAGGGATTTATGCATTTTGAAGACAACATTGTACTGTATGCATCCCATATTGACCAATGGGGCGGGGCCTGGTGCACCAGCTGGCGCACCCTGCAGGGCACCTGTACACCCGCACGGCCACATGAGTTCTGAACCTGTCCATTCGATGTCATAGATGTAAGGCGTGCGCAAGGCGACACCGCAAGGGGCAGCCTGAGGGCGTCACTTGAGGGCCCTTGTGCACCCAGCAGGGGTCCCCTACCTGGGGTCCCTCAGAGTTGAGGCAGTGGGGGAGCGGGCGGTGCCCTGACCCTTGCGCCCAACCTTGACACTCACTGAGTGTCCAGAGCCCGGCCTACTTGACTCTACTCTACTGCAGCAATAGATGCCGCATGCAGGGAAAGCGCGTGACGTCAAGAGGATGCGCCCGGAATCCATAACAGGGGCCTCTGCTCGTCTATTGGTGAGGCCGCTGTGGCAGCTGGCGACCCCAAAAGACCAGGCCACTGATGCTTGCGCTGTCAGTCAAGAGATGAGCGCGGCGACGGCACTATGGCACAGTTCAAGGCAGGCACGACACGCGGCACAATAACTGGTCCCTCCAAAGCAATCTGCCATGACTGATGATCCGAACCCTTTTGGCCCTTTGACCCCTTCGATTGCGTGAACGAACCATTTGCAGTCGCTGGCTGCGCGGGTTGTGCGTGGTCGCTGACTAGGCACCATGTGGTTCATCTAGCAGTCAACAAGTTCCTCGCAGGCCGGCTCATAGCACAAGAACAGGCGCGGAGTGCCTGAGCAGCTCTGCTAAATGGGTCTCAACACAACGATTGGCAGCCTCGCTGGCGCTGAGCAGTGAATGCCTGGTAAGGTGGGCAGCTGGTGGGACCACTAGCGGTGTCGCACACACGGCCGTGGCCGAACTGCGTGGTGCTGTGAGCACGAGAGACATGCCAATGGCAACCGCCTGCCAGCTTTGCTTTCCCAGCAGCGCCCTGGCCTTGGCTGACGCGGCTGACACCCAGCTGCTGCAACAGCAGCCGCCCCGCGCACTCATTTTGCGGCAGGGTGTGCGTGCTGGTGCAGCTGTGGATGAGAGCTGTGGGTTGACCGCGGCTGACCGTGGTTGGCAAAGCCTTGCAGCCAGCCAAATGTGACGGAGTAATTGAGATCTGTGATGTGGATGAAGGAAGTGCGCTTTGGCTCACAGGGCCAATGCTGTGATCTGTTGAACGGTCGGTGGCAGAGATCCAAGGTTGCTCACACGCTTCCACCAACTCAATTTCTCTTGTTGATCAAGATTCAAATAATTCAGGCCAACGTTCAAGTATGAGGGCCTCTGTAGTCTCCTCGTCTCGGGCCGCGCGGCCAACGCGCGCTCGGGCCACGCCCGGATTGTTCTTTGTACCGGCGAAATGCGTATCTCTTCACCGCAGCAGCACGGCCGCTCATGTGTGGGGTTCGGCCAGCCCATCGCGCAGCACACCTGTGGTGAAGCGGCAGCACGCGCAGCGGTGCCAGGCGCAGCAGGTGGAGACGCTTCAGGCGACCGTTGGCGTTGAGTCCCCTAACCTTCCTCAGCTGCCCCCGCTAGATGGTGAGGAGCGGTGTGTGCGTGACGAATGGAGCAGCTCGGTGCAGTGCGCCTGCCTGACTGACGTGCTTTGCCGCGGCCAGCGGCAACCCGCACGGTGCGCTGCAGGACGCACGTGCGCGCCAGCCCACACTCTGCAGCCCTCATGCAATTGCCATTACAGCCACGTTCCACGCGCATTACATTCAACTCCCTCGCGCCCGCCCTCTCAACCTAACCCTGACACAATCTCGCCTGCGCTTACCCCCGCCTTCCCCCTCCCCACCACCCCCGCCCAGCCGCCTACGAGGCCGCCACAGCCTTCGCCTCTTACGCCAACTGGCTGCTGCCCGGCGCGCTGCTCGTCGGCCGCTATCCTTACATCGAGCCCTCTCGCTGCGCCAGCCACGACCAGGGAGAGGCGCAGCTCGACGCCATCATATCCGCGGGGCCCCACGTGTTTGTGAGCCTGCAGGCCGAGCTGCCGCCGCAGGCCGAGATGCGGATCGGCGGTGTTAACGGGTTCATGCCGTACAAGGCGGTCGCGGAGCTCATCGCTGCCGCGCGCACGCCGTGAGCGGCGGGCGCCGGGGACGGGGAAAGGGGGAGGGGGGCGGACGCATGAGCAGCCGGCGCAGGGCACGGCGAGCAGCAGGGCACCTGGTGGGTCTCGCTCGGGTCACGTCGTTGCATGTCGTGGCAGCGTCGGTCGCGGCCGCCAGGCCCGTCTGGCCCTTGAAGCTGCGGCGGATGCTCTGGAACGGGCGCCCCCGCCCAGGCGTCCGCAGCGCCCGCCTGCGCCAGCACCTGCAGCACCATCAAAACATCTCAAACGGCGGACCCCTTGCAGACGGTGCCGCGCCCTCGCAGCCGCTGCTGCCTCCTTGCAGCGCCCTGCCGCACCAATGCCGGCACGCCCATGCCTGTCTGCACCCTCCTGCCC